CGTGTGTGTGTGGTGGGCGGGGGGGGGCTCTTCCATGAGGATGTTCGACTTAAAGACACGTCCCAGAGGCGTTTCTGGTTCCAAAAGGCATTTCTGGTCCCCACCTGTCGTTTTGCTCCTCTGCATGGCTTCCTAAAAAATTCTGCAGGATTTCTCAAACATGCATGAATGAGTCAAAGCAAGGCTTTGGGCATGTTTTTTTTTTACGAGAGTATAACATTATAACATGATATAAAACTCAAAAAAGTTGATTTTACATGATATTGCCCCTTTGATGGACAATTTTCACTATAATTATTGACCCAAAAAATAAATAAAAAATTAAATTAATAAAAGTAATATCATAGTTATTAGATTTGTTTATATTGTTATTATTCCCATGTTTGACTGGATTTTTAGCAAAGTTTGCCTACCATTAGTATCTGGGGTCATAAGTTTCTGTAGCTGTTATTTTGTGGGCTGGAAGCTAACAAAATTAAAAACTACTATTCTAGATCATGTTTTTATGTTTGTTTGTTTGTTTTTTCCCCCAGTTTTAAATAGATACCATATGTATTGATGTTCTTACATCACAAGGTACATTTGTATGTATCCTGTTGTGTTCGTGGTTGATTTGATTTTTGTTATTTCAGTAGGTAAATTACAASATTTGGGTTTGGACAAAAGCCTGTATGATAGCAATTTTCTTTAACCTTTTTATTAATTTTGGTAAATATGCTTTGTCCAACAGAATACAATGCTAAGATTGCAAATTTTGTCTATTATCCCAAAAAGATCACTGAAAGTGCTATTTGTGTTTACTAATCTGACTTAGAAAACAGGTCAACACAAATTTAAACATCACTTAAAATATCAATGCTTCGCAAAAATAAAAATAAAATAAAATAAAACAGAAAAAAATACCTGTGGAGACCCATCAGAACCTTGCTCTCTGGTCTTTCTAGCAAGTCTTTTCTTCTTCTTGTGTAGTGGTTTGGACTCCAGGATCATTTCCTCCAATTCAAACGTGGGGTCACAGTTTAGTCTCCGCCTCTTTAAAGAAAACATTCACACATGTAAATATAAAATCAAATGGAGAGATATTTCTGTGTTGCAAACATACTAATCTATAAAAAAGACTTGTGCTCCATTTCTTCTTGTATGTGACATATTTATGACAGTAAATTAGTGTCCATTGATTTAATTTCACTTCAACTGTTTATTTTGTTATGTTATGGAATAAATATAATAAAAACAGTATTTTTTATAGTATGATCAAAAATAATTTAGAACCTAATAAAAACAATTTAGGTTAAAATGTACTAATTCTCTATTTCATCTACTGTGTTTCTCATCAAAAATAATAATAATAAAGAAAACCCATTGCTCTACATGTCCATTTACAAGTTGTTTGACTAATTACCTAAAGCAATATCAGTGTATTTGTACCTCTGGCTCTGAGAATGATAATGACGTCATATTAGCTGAACAGCTTTGTAATGCTTGAGGACTGTTTTGCTGCAAAGCTATTCTCTCTGAAAGCACTTGTATAAAACTGGATCACATTAAATTTTATATTAAAATCTTAAATATTGTAGACCACGGAAGGGAAACTGCTGGCACATGGGCCAAATCTGGCCAGCAGGTGACTTATGTTTGGCCCGCCAAGGAGGAATTTTTTTTACTTTAAAAAAAGCACTTTAAGCAAATCAAAGAACTGCTTTGAGTGTATTTTATAGGTAAAAATAAAACAAAAAAAATCAGACTATTGTTTACATAATTTCTGTTTCTGTTGCACAAAGCTAAATATGAGAAGTTTACTGAAGTCAAAAGTGCATAAACAACAGCAACTTTTCAAACCACAACAATGCAGGAGTCAGCACTTATGGCACATTATTCTGTTGCACTTCAGCTTGTTAAAGTAAGTGTTTATTTGTTGGCTTCWAATGTTTTGTATTCATATTTATTAAAAGTACAATTGTTACACATTAATTTGAGCATGTTCAGTTACTGTGCTACATGTTGATTTAATAAACACAAACATTTTTAAAATGACAGTTTTATTACTTTTGGGTAAGTGTGTRGCACGATGTGGCCCTCTTAGTGTCAACAAAACATTGTGGCCCCTTCCATCATTTACGTTGCCCATCCCTGTTGTAAACTTTAGTCACATATGCCCAGTGACAAGCTGCATATGTAAATAAATGTGTGAAAGCCTGACTCTGCTGGACATTTGACATCAGTTTGCTAGCCAAGCAGCTTGACGTCCTGTGTAATAATATTACACAGAAGCACCATCTCAACCCAGTCTGTGACCACCCTCAAAGCTGCTAGTAGATATCCTGATGGTTTTTCAAATGTGTCTGAACCTAAGWGGCATAGTTGCAGTGTTTTGTGCTGTTCTGTTTGTAATCTGCCTGGGTGGATGTGCTTTGAACAGCAAACAAAATACCACCAACACATGCTGTGTGTCCTTACAATGTGCAAAGTCATTGTAATTTCAGTGTATTTAAAAAGAAAAAGATGGTTTTTGTTTCTTTCGAATGCTGCAATTTGGCCAAATCAGTATGTGTGCCGAGTATAGAAGGTGGTTTTAAATAAAGCCAGTGTTTAYGCTCGGTAGGAGATCCGAATCACCCTGGAAGGGGGTGATGTTTTTGTGCCTGATGGATAAAAGATTTGATAAGGACTGAGTCGATCTGGCTATATTTTTCTGTACCAACATCTCTGCCACCCTAAGGCAAAGAATATTGTCAGGGTACTGTAAATATGAGGAATACAAATGAAGGGGGGGTGTTGAATCACAATGCTTTATGGTAATATTTTAATTAACAGAACAATATTCTTTCACCAGCAGTGCGGTTAAAAWTTTTGGCTTATGTATGAAATTCTTTGTTTTAAGGGGAATAAATAGACAGGTGTTTAGCAGGATATTTATTTGTCGCATAACAAAAATGGCTGTAACTATTTTCCTATCATAGAATAAATTTCGTTTAAAGGTCTGACATGAAAGGTAGCAGGTGAAATTCATTCCTTAAAGAAACCGTCATTTAATCTATTAATGTGAATGTTTTATTGTGTAGGAAAATAAAAACAGTTTTTTTTTTTACACTTACATTCGGAATAAAGCCTGGAGAAAGCTGTTTGCTAAGAACAGCATCCCAGTTTACATTTGACATGTAATCCAGGTCCTGGAGCTCTGCGAAACAAGAGATGCGCTTCTGGACATCTATGCACAGCAGCTGAGTGAGAAGAAAAGATTAAAGTACAAAATGAGTGTTTTTAATAGTGGCACAGATGAGAAGTTGGAAGCAGAGTCCCACCGAGAYGCAAGCATGTGTTTGCCCTTAAGCAGGAGTCTGAGGAGGAGGAGACGGGGACACAGGAGGTGGTGGGGATGACGATACAGAAAAAGGAGCACAAAATAAAGAGTGATGGAGGGAGGAGACGAACGATGAAGAGGAGAAAATAATAGGCATTTAGAAGGCAAATGATGAGAATTCAGTGGGTTGTGAGGCCTGAAAACAATGAAGGGCGAATTCAGTGTATTGGGCATTCGATTCTGCCC